TCACAGAAAATTATTTTCAATTCCCAATTAGTTTCAGCAAACTCTTGAGGGCAATAAAATAAAATATAAAAAAAATATATATTGCAATAAAAAAATACATTTAAAACGAGGAAAACGTTCAACCCTTTTGTAATATTCAACAAAGAGAAATGGAATAGCTGAGTAGATTCTTTAAAAGCGTTAATAAATTGAGCCCGTAGCGTTGCCATTATTTTGTTGTAGCTGACCTGATTAATTACGGAGCTCGCACGATGTCGCACTAAGAAATATATGAAGTAAAGCGTACGTCTGTGGTAAGGATTATGTTGTACAAAGCGTCTGAATAAGTGGATGCCTAAGTCTAGACAGTTGTCTTTTTCACTGATTTTGTCCTTTTTTGATTTAGAGAGAAATAAAACCAATCATTGGCATTATTATGCATTAGTATTGTAGCTTCGTATACGAAAAGGAAAGAATATTACATAGAAAAAAGGATTTCAAGGGTTTTTTCTAATATATATACGGAAAATATAAAGAATAAGACACGACATTAATGAAAAATGTTATGTCAAAATATTAACAGAATATTAAAAATTGTAGTAAAAAATTCTCTACGAAAGGTTTATTTGACTTTTAATTTCAGAAATTATTAAATATTTGGTATTCTATTGTGTGAATTTTGTGAAGATGTTTAGTAACATTTATAATAAAAACACGTTACTATAGATGCGGCCTATGTTCAGCAGTGGACAGTTAATGGCCCCCATAAGAAGAGGGGTGGTTGCCAATAGTTGCCATGCTTGGCAGGTCGGGTGGCAACCGCAATTAGGCTTTAAAAATGTTTTAAGAGCTGCTGCTCATCCCTCGACCATTAAGTTTCCTTAGTAGACTCTTACAACACCCATGGGACAGGGCGGGATGGCCCATTCTATATTGGGACTACACGACAAAAAATCAAACAACTCTCTTCTCATTATAATATTACGAAGACGCCTTAGATTTTTCGCAACGTTATTATAGATGTTCATGATATGACGATCTCGTAATCATATCGTAATGTATAACTGTTACTGGAAATATAATATATAAAATCACCCAATCGTGCGACTTCCTAGAATTAATGATTGAATCTCGGAAAAATCTATTTTTATTATAATAACTATTATCTAAAACCTTTTTCTGTATAATTAAACAAATAATAAACTGAAAGAGCACAAAGAACTAATATTACGTTTATTTCAAAAATTCTTTTATTATAAACAGTTGATGGTGTCGCCATTTAAAGTACCTATTGCTTAACCTTGCTGTGGTTGGAAGTTCGATTCTCATACAATAGCTATAGTGGTCGTGGTATATTATATTTCGTAAAATAACAGTTAGTAACATATACATTTTGATAAACGATGAAATCTTTTATATACATCTACATTAAATTTATATATTTAAATTTCGAATGCGGAATCATGTGTGTATAAATAGGATTGTTGCGCAGAAGGAGGCATTTTTTATTCTATTTTAACATAATTAATATGATATCAATACCGAAATGAACTCTATTTCAACGTAATCACGTAACATAGTCACGAAAAAGAAATAAACGAATTAACAATCTCCTTGCAGAAGTGTCTTAAAAAATCAAAACGCATCTATGAAATTACCTTCGTGATTGTATATTTTTAGAAAGTATCAATATTAATGAGTTAATAGCTCAAGAGTAAACAATGAAGAGCCGTGCCAACCAACTTTGTTTGGCCGCAAGGTTATCTGGAGACTGAAATATTCGAACCCTTATGCATTATTCAGCGACGACCGCCCATCATGCGCCTATATCGGCCATTTCGTGTACATACATGTGATATTGCTTTATTTTTCTCCTGTAACTGCTATATAATGGCTTCCCCCGTTGTTCAACTTTCTATTCATCGTTAACTAACTGTTACTTGCAACTTTATTTACTTTATCATTGGTTTCTTATTTGAATTTAAAATTATCAAATTTTTATTTTATTTTGATCAATTTAGACGTTAATGAAGAAATAAATAATTCTTAATATAGATAACTAAAAAAACAACAAGTACTGTCCAATTTATCATTTTTAGATAAGTTACAAAAATGTAAACTAAACAATTAGATACTAATGTATGAAACTAAAGATGTTACTTCATTCTATAAAATCCAATGTTTAACGTGTTTTTATAATTATAGAAAAAGTAAAAATATTGCGAATTTTATTCTCTAAACAGTGAATCGGAAATGTATTACTGTACTTTTTATTACTCTAGTCATTCGATGAAATACTGAATAAGACATATTATGTATATTTTAAAAGTATAGCTTTAGCTTTAGTCAAAGCTACACAGAAAAAGTAGGTACTGAATAAAATGTATGTGAGTGGATTAAATATTCAAGAAAAACAGTATAACCATTATAACTAACTACTAGTTCAACAACTACCCGAACTTTTTATGTCTATAGTCTCATAAAATACTGATTATTGTTTTATGTTATAAACTACAAGAACTATTTATTAAACTTCAACTTAGAATATTAAAAATGTAATTTCAAATATATTTGATATTTTCGACTGAAAATACTCTTTGTAAAAGTATCCAGCATTTTTGTGATATTTGTTTCCTGTGATGAAAATTAACCTGTTCAAAAGCTGAAACAATTCTGTACAGAACACGAATAAAGTTTGTTTTTGAATACTGAAAAATGCATCCGACCCGTTTCGACACGGGTATAACAAAGGTATGGTTAGGGATGCCGGCTGTCCAAACATAATAAGTATATTTTTTTTAATGGATGATAATGGAATGGTAACCCCACCTGCTCTATCGGTATACACCAGCGGGGCACCAGTAATGAATGATAGGTGAGGATGAAGCAGGTTAGTTAGACCATGGCGAATTAAACATGAATTGTTCACAATGGTTTCCAGGGGGTACCACATGGAGGTCGATCTAATAGGGCATATTGCTAGCAATGGGGCTGTCAAACTCTATAACTCTAATAAACAAGTTTTGCAGTTGAGTAAATCATTGAATTAAATGATAACTCAAACCTCAAAAAGTAACTCAAACGCGGTAGGTTACTAAACTATCCTCGAAAATACGAAAAACAAGGTTACGTGTAGTTCCATTACAGACACGAAAATTTGCGGTCACGATAATTTGTTTGCGGAATATCAACACCTCAAATGCTAGGGTCTACACAATTCTCGAGTATAACACGCAGGAATTACCAAACACTGCCTCGACCCGTACAAACTGAGAAACTGTGACGTTGCTTTGCCCAGGCCGTATTCGCAATTCCGATACAAATTGGAATATTAACCAAAGGAATATATAACTCAAAATTATCTATGCAAAGAGCAATTTCCTTTGTTTGCGGTTTTGACGATTGATGATTGATGAAGCATATATGCAGATTCATATGTTCTTAGTTTTCATTATCATAATTTCAAATAAACATTAATAAGAAGCAAAATAATTCCTTACATTTTAATTATGTAATATAATAACTTAAGAAATTGGCTCACTAACTAATCGATCAACGCGCAGCCGAAAGTACTCGATCTGGAAACACAAAATTTTGTACAAGGATCTTTTTATAAAAATGCACGTGAAGTAACTAGCTCATATTATATATTAAGAAAAAAATAAAAATATATTTGTTCACCCAAAATTAAGTGAACATATTATATAAAAATACGCGCCGCTTAACGATCACGATAACCTTTCTCACGGTCTAATAGTAAGGGACCCGATTTGTATCATTTTGATAAACAGCGCACCTGTTTTAGAATGGTTTGGGTCCACTGTGTTTGTCTGTGACAGTTTTATTACAAACACTCTTTGTTTCCCGAAAAGGCAAGGGAATTAAGATGTCCACAGTTATTCTTGACAGTAGATCAACTTTAATAGAGTTTAGATAAGAACTTGTATATAGGTAAACAACTAAAAATTGGCCGCATGACTTTGATTATGGTAATAACAAAAACGATTTTGTATAATTCGTCCGTTTATAAACGTCGTCGATAGTTTTTCTTTTAGGAATTCCACTTATTTAATAATATCGTATGTAAAAAATATTATCTATTGTATATCGCTGTATCTATTGTTCAAGTGAAATAAAGAATATATATATTAGAAAACATGTTTTACCATGACCAAAAATTGCTACGAATTTTTATAATTATGATATAGTTCTGATGTACTTATTTTAATTATAAAAAGCAAATTAAATATTTAAAAATAATTTCCAGCTTATTTCTAGCTATCTCATAGAAACAAAATTTAAAGATACCAGAAATATAAAATACGTGGGCATATTATAATATTTAAATAATTTAAAATGCAATTCGTTCCAGTTCCCAGTGCGAGTGCCAAGTTCTTCCTCATATTACATTCTTTTCGGACAATAAAACAAGTCAAAGGAAAAACGAAAATGAATCAAATATAATAATATTATTCATGCGTCGCGTAGTGAACACAAAAAGGCACTTATTCGACAAAACTCAGCTACGTATTAATAATCACCCTCTAATCTCACGAAACCATCAACCGAATAAAGGTATTTTTGTAGTACCAGGCAATTATAAGGCTGAAAGGTGAACGTAGTCGGAATCGTACAAAATGGGGGCGTTGAAGAAATGTATTATGTACATTGTAGTCGCTTTTAATTTACTCATTATCCACTGTCATCAAGACAAACAAATATTTTAGTACTAATACCATTATAAATTATATTATGGATTTCGCTCGTGTGTAATTATAAATTCCTAACTTTTAAAAAAGTATTTTAATATTCCAAATTCAGTGTGAAATAATAATTTTAATTTTAGATTAATATCATAAATCTTCTCAGTTGAGTAACTTTTTAATAAATATTTTCAGTTCTAATTTAAACTGAATTAAAACAATTTTTATGCCCTTCTTTTGCCTAATACTCTGCCAATGCCACGTATTATAATTTGACGCATAAGTACAAAGTGTCTGTCAAATATAAATATTACTCACTGGGATTGACAGCATATCCTTCGTCGACGACATTCATCGATAGATGTAGGAGCACGAGCAACGTGGCTGACAACTGAAATAAAAAGAAAAAATATTAATAGGTACTTAATTCCTTTCGATTTTGTCTATATTTTTGTGAAACATGATAATTATTTTCGACAATAATGGATTGATTTTAATAATTCTGTTTGAACTACAGATAATTAATTATTATTTATTTACTTAAGCAAAGTCTTAAATTATCTTGGGTAAAAACGAACTTTTGTCTAATATCCCATTTAAAAAAAAAATGGTACCGTCACTTAAAATCTCTATAAAAAACCTTTTGTGTCCATTACTCAAAGCAATATTTTTTCAAGTCTATACTCCTTTTTGTTACCTCTTTGTGTTACCTCTCATATTTTAAGCTTTTACGCAAAGTAAAATGCAACGAGCTCGAAGTAGAATGCGTCTGTTAAAATAGGTAAAATTCAACTTTATGCAGATACTTGGGGATAATGCAACATAAAAATTTTTACTGAATCGCAATATATAAATACATATTTTTTTTTAATATAAATTGTCAACGCACCAATTAAATTTACAGAAACAGTATGACTGTAATCTCATGAAAACTAATTTCTGAGCGTAGATAGTTAATTCTTTTTGTAACTAAAGAGAATCAGATAACACTGAATTACTGCTTTTAGTGTTTCTAAATGTTAGACTTAAGGAAATAATATGCTAATTTATTTCTAAGACAACAAATTAAAGTACATTATTTTGGTGCTGGCAGTTTTTGCCCTTATCTTACAATAGTTACAGGTTAGTGTTTTATAAACATCATTAATTTAATCTTAAATTTTCCTCTATCTTTCCCGTGGGTGTCCTAAGAGGCAAATAAAGGAACTTAATAGTGAAAGAATAGGCAGCAGTGTCCTTCTTAAAAGATTACTAAAGCCTAACTGCAGTTACCAACCTGGCTGCTAAACATGGCAGCTACTGGCAAAATCTCCCCCAGTAAAGGGAGGAGAGATAACAGCCGATATGATAAAGAAACATTATTAAACAAAAAATACAATGTATACATATATTATATATAACTGTGAATAGGTAAACAGTCTATAAGACAAACTTAGTACGGTTTACCTAGTCATAGGCTTGGTTATGCACACATATGCACACACACTCCGCGACGCAACGTCCGTCTTCGGCCATCGCACCTACAATTCTGACCGCTACTGACATTTCGGACATATGTACCCTCGTGTATGTACAGTCAAGACAGTGTAGATATTTCCATATATTACAATTAGCAATTCTTGTAATATGTACGACAAGGATTACCTGCATATTAATGGATTAAGAAGGATTAGCTACATAATATGTATGTCCGGATATTTGACATTACGAGTAATCTGAACAGCTCAACGGATTATTACAAATGAAGAGACTTTGAAACCTATACCAATATAGCTTAATCACTATTTTAATGAGCTCTACGACGACTTAACCATCGAATTATATAAATCATAAAAATTCCAAAAAAATACTTTAGTAGAACTAGAACTTAATTGAAATATTAATACTAATTAACAAGATACCAAAATAATTAAATAAGAGGTATTATTCAATTTTATTGATGGTGATCATATAGTCCTGGTATAGAATAAGGCCACCCCTTCCTTTCCGGTATATGTCGTAACAGACGAACTTAACTAAGGGGAACTTAATAGTAGAGGATGGAGAGCAGCAACCTAACCTAACTGCGGTTGCCAACCTGCATACCAAGCATGGCAACTACTGGCAAATCTCTCCTTTTGTTAGGGAAAGGCTTATGTTAAGCAATGGACCGTTAATGGTAGAAATAGTGATTCTATATTATTGCATCCATAACAATTAAATTTAGAAATCGCTCTTTTTATTAATCAATTCCTCATCTTAGTTCAGTAAAATTAATAATGATACCAAACTTTAAGAATCGTAATTAATTAATGTTTAAAATGATTCAATTTTTTCATCCATTCATTGAACCATGATTGGGGCACTTAAATACCGCATTAATCTTGTTCTCAATAATTTTGGGTCAGGTGTTGTTGGGTTATTGATGGCTCGACGACCTGGTGTTACCTTTCTCCTTTGTACTATAGATTAAAAATAGTTTATGGCAATTATTATTAAGTAAAAATAATATAAAAGTACTATATGTACTCGGCTTTATGTATTTTTTTTTAATAATTTATGTTATTTCGCTTTTTATGTATATCTATCTATATATGTTGTAATTTGTGTGCTGTAAGTAATGCAAATAAATTATCTATCTATAGATTGATTCTCTCATATCTTCAAAATCTAAACTAATATTAAAAAAAAAGTTGTTTGTTATTGATAAACTCAAAATAATACCTAATCGATTTTAAAAATTCTTTCACGTATGGAAAGCTATATTATCAGCAAATAACATGGACCGTATTTTAAATAACCATGCGAAATCGCAACTTAAATATTTAAACATCCATATTTCGTGCCTAAGTGATTTAAAGATTCAGTACGTCAGTAAAATGTGTAATACACTGTAATGTTCATATATTTAGTGGGACAGAGGTGTCCACACAAAGGACTTTTGATCAAAGTTTTTTTTTTAATTCGAATCATACTAAATAAAGTTAAGTTTAAGCCGGACATAAAAAGTTTTGCTGTATATCTTGCTCTTATTTCCCCTACTTTCAGAGCCTACTATTTTTACGTCTCATACTAAAGTTTCAGCAAATATTTTATGGGCAAACACTTTCCCGAGTACACATAAACCATATGAAACCGGAAATATTTTATCTTGGCAGTTTTTACTAGAACGTGTTAGTTCTAAACAAACTTCTGGGATGTGCAGCAAAAGCGCACTTTAAATTCAGCGCAGCTGCGAGTTAAATTTTGGTTTTATTTCCAACTAAACGCGCCAAAGTTTATGCTTTTTCAAACGCATTTGACATGTACCTAATAGAGTTAGAAACATGCGGAGGGAAATATCTATTCAGCAAATGAAACTCATTTTTCCACACTTATACACAGAAACATGTATAAGTGTGGAAAAATGATTATACAAATCTACTTTAATTATGATATAGTGAAACTTTTACTTTATTAAAATCATTGATCAAGTTATGTTGAAATATTTGACCACGCCTTAATTTAGTACTATAGTGTATGAAATAGAAATCAGCCCTTTTTAACTCCGCTACACACATCCTTACGTATAATTATGAGTCACAGCGTAAGAATAGATTGGGTGGAAGTGACACTCTTGTTATTTTAAATTACAACACAATTAATTTTACAATAACAAACACCACCGAACACAGAGTTATTTAGATCCAAATTAAAGAAATTCTAGCAGTAGAACTTAAAATTTTTACGAAAAAATGTAAGTATCTTTGTGATTGATAATATCGATTTCATACTGTGTCCATCATCATCATTTCAGCCATTATCCGTCCACAACTGTTCATAAGCCTCCCCCATAAACTGCCATAAAGAACGGTTCTGAGCCACCTGCATCCACTGACTCCCTGCAACGAATTTCAGGTCGTCACTCCGTTTAGTAGAGGGGTCGTCCTACACTGCGTTTGCCCGTACGCGGTCGCCACTCAAGAATCTTCTTTCCCGTGACCAGCCCATTGCCACTTCAATTTGCTTATCCTTCGGACTATGTCGGTTATTTTGGTTTCTTTGCAAATATATTGTGTACTTAGAATTAATGTGAAACTAATGAGTGTACTATCATATAATTTAATACTAAGACTATATACTAACTATGGAACTCTTGTGTTATATAAATATTTGCTACAAAAGCTCTTCAGGCCGTGTTCAAGTTTCTTAGTAAAAATACATAATTAACATCATAATTATTTACAATAAATGATAAAGTTCATTGTAAAAGATTAGGAAAATGTTAATTTCATTTTCCAGAAACAAATAATTAAATATCATTATACTCGTATTTCGGCTCCGTTCCTAATGTTTGTTTGCAAACAAGCCGCCCGATTATACAGGACCTTTCTCCTTCAACTAAATTATATCTGCAGAGCAAACAATACAAATGCGGGAAGTTGAGAGGTCAAGTTATAATGGATGCCGTGTGACACGGTATCAAGACAATATGTCATAGACGCATCCACAATTCGTAGGTATCTCAACTAAATGACAGTTTGATTTACGGTTTATAGTGTATTATTCAAAGTTATTTAATGAGATGTTAGATTCGATACGCCATCATAAAATCAGGGGTTGGTTATCATTTTTCACTGCCCCTCTATTTGTTTGACCAATCAATTAAAAATTGAATTTTATTGCTATATTTTCATCCAAATCGATTCGTACTTTCTACAGATTGTCTATAATTTAGAAATAGAAAAGTGTTAAATAATATGTTTTTGAAGTAAGTATTTATTAAAGTAGATAGATAGATAGATAGATAATTTATTTGCACGACTTACAGCACACTTACAACAATAGACATAAATGCACAGTGAAAAAAGATGAAAAAATAAATGAAAACAAAATGCATAAAATAAGTAAAAATTTTTTTCCAAGTACTTCTGGAAGATCTCAAGGTTTATCCGTTTTGCATAATTAAAAAAAAGTAAGGCTATTATAAAACTAAACTACTAACTTTTGTTAGAAGAAACAAATTACTTATTATAAAAAAATAAAAATGGGTGCCATATGAACACATATAAAACAATACGTTAAAGAAACGTATTGTAGAAACGCTCTTATAAAAGTTGTATCTACTCCTACTTAATGTATTGTGCATGAATTTTATATTTGAAACAGCAAGCAAGCTGACGGCTCTTCTAATGAAAAGTGGCAACCGTCGCCTGTAGGCATAAACAACATCATTTTAATAGAATACACGATATATTCAAATTTAAAATACATAAAAGTAGTGCTTATATGTATGTGTACTTCTTTCCGATATTGTTTCAAGCATTCACATATATATATATATATATACATACAAAGAATTAAATTGTTATTAGTTGTCTAAAACAATATTGCTCTTAATTAAATTCAAATATATTTGATCAGTTAAATCTT